TATATATAATATATATATATATATATATATATATTATATATATATATATATATATATATATATATATATATATATATATATATATATATATATATATATATATATATATATATATATATATATATATATATATATATATATATATATATATATATATATATATATAATATATATATATATATATATAAATATATATATATATATATATATAATATATATATATATATATATATATATATATAATATATATATATATATATATATATATATATATATTATATATATATATATATATATATATATATATTATATATATATATATATATATATATATATATATATATATATATATATATATATATATATATATATATATATATATATAATATATATATATATATATATATATATTGAACGCATAATTCAACTAATGTTTGACTGGTTTCAATCCGATTTCGGGTTCTTTCCATGTTATTTGTCTGATATTTTGCAGGTATTTGATGCTCATGTCTAAACAAAGCAATATGAAGAAAAGAAGCAATTACAGATGAAATATGGACGAAAACCAGATGAAAACAACATGAAAAACACAGAATGCACATTTTGCTGCTGTGACGACCGTCACACCTCCATGACGACCGTCACACGGGTGACGACCGTCACACACCATGACGACCATCATGCAGGCAAAAACGCACAGCTTCAATTGAACGTGCAAATACCAGTTCCAAGTCCCAAATAATGGACCACTACTCCCTGATTTTTCTGCCTCCAATTCCACCTTCTTCAAATTACAACCGTTAGAATTTTACCTCTATAAAAGGGGAAGGAGGGCAGCTGAGAAAGAGAGCCGCATTCAGACAACGAAGTGCTGCCCAAATTTATTTCCAAAGCAAAATTTAGTTTCATTCTTTCTGTTTTTGTTTCCTTTCCTTATTCCTGTATTCCATTTCTACAATATTCATTTGTGCGCTCTATTGGTTTGAAGACATAATCCTGCCGACATCGTTGGGATTTGGCCAAAAGCCAATTGGATACGTTACAGGTTTTTTTCATTATTTCGTTAATTGTAACTTTAATTCTCAGTAATATGAATGTTCTAAGTTTCTGTTTTTATTTATGTTTTACCTTTCCCAAATCCATGTCTAGCTAAATCAGAGTAATCGATATGTAATAATAATTCAGACGGGATTTGATAATAACCGGTTGAAAACTTTCCTTTTCAAAGTTGTTTATGGTCTGAGTGTTTAAACTTATTTACTGAATAAACTTTCGTCGCGAAAGCGAGAACTTATTTAAAAGTAGTTTTGCCACGACAGTGGGAAATTAATTAAGGTACGAACCAACAAGCGACAGCTGCGGCTAGGACCAGATAGTAAACACTAGGCATTTGTTTTAATAACAGCAAAAGCACTTTAAAATAGATTAGAACTTAGAGATTTCCAAAAAGCAATTTTAACCCCGAACTATGTTCCGCCTTAGAGTTGCAACTAGCGTCAACAACCATCGTGAGACGAAAGTCTTTAAATCACTATTTTCTTCTTAAATAAATTCTGAAAATATTTTATATACCGGTAACTTGTCAAATCCC